GATATTATCTGAACTGTACATATAAACTGCTACGAAACCCTTCATTTCTCACCTCCGGGGATGTGCTTACTGGTTGAGACTCCCTATTCTGTTAGTGTCTTGCCCTGAATTAAGAAAGAGGCTCGGAAAAGTTACAAAGCCGAACGATCTTGCGGGTCCCCGGTACGTGGCCCCCTCCTCGACTCGAGTTGTCCGCTCGGGTGCACAGTCTAGACCCTATACCAAGGATCTCCACTTAGAATAACAAAACCTCATGCCGGATCCCTAGTAGAAACATTTATCTGCATCATGAATTTTGGCTTAAGGGACTCAATACAGGGGTTGGGTCTGTCTAGGACAGGTGCCCTGAAATAAAAGACCATCCTGATGCATTTTTACGTGCTACTTGCGCATTTGTTTGCCTTGGATTCGCATGTTGACCGGCCTGTAAACAAAGAGAATAAATTGAGTAAAATAGCAGTGCTAGGGTGATCACTTGTAAAACCAATGCTTAAAATAGTGCCAAAATGCTGCCGGATTTTCAAAAAGAAAAAGAAAAAAAAACAAAAAAAAAAAACAAAAAAAAACAAAAATTGAAGTTTCAATAATATTTGTGGGTTTTGATAAATTATTTGGGCCAAGTCCAACCCCTTTTTCAAAATGTCAAAAAAACAAAAAACAAAAAAACAAATGCCCGAGTTTATTCACTTGTTTTGAAATAAGTCGGATGGTGCCATTACTGCCGGTAATAGCTGAATGTTGTTACAGGGGACGCCGGAAGGCTGATCTTGCACAAATGGCCATCTTTGAATTTTATTCTGACTGGTAAGAAAGCACAACCTGAAAAACCTTCTCTCTGAAGTGTTGAAAGGCCGTATTCGCAAAGCCGGTCCTGGTTTTTAAAATAAATTTCATAAAATGTCAGTACTAATTCGCCCTAATAAATGTGCAGGATGAGCACGATAATGAACAAAATTCCCTTGGAATTGCGACTATGGTGGATTGATCTCGAGGAAGCAGGACAGAAAAGGGTCAGCGCACATCTGGGAGGCCTCACTGGTTTATTGAAAATTAACCCTAGGGGAGACATCCTAAAAGGCTTAATCACTTTCTGGGACCCGGCCCACAATGTCTTTCACTTCTCGGACTTTGAGCTAACCCTGAATTTAGAGGAAATGACTGGATATATCGGGACCCATACAATCCCTTTGAGACATCAATACTTGATCGCACCCAGAGCCCTCACTATGCACAAATTTCTGGATTCCTTGAAAATTAGTAGAAAAATTCACAACCCTGACTTATCGGCTGGTTTATGTACTCTGCAATTTATATATTAGAGGTATGGCCACATTGGAGGATTCAACAACCCTGAAAATCTTATTTGTAGCAAGGGTAATCGGCTCAAGTGGGAGGAGCATCGATGTTTCGCGTACATGGTGTCCTTCTTAGGTCTTTTAGTATTCCCGCGATAGGACAGGAACATCGACATACGAATAGAGGGAGTCGTTAGACCTTTGATGACCCAAGCTAAGAGTACTCTCGCTTCAATGATCTTGTCCGACATCTTCCGTGCTCTCACTGTCTGTAAAGCAGGGGGAGATTTCTTTGAGGGTTGTAACTTACTGCTGCAAATATGGATGATTGAGCATATATGTCACCAGCCTCGGTTCATGAATTACGGTTCGCCAACCAAAAGCTGCATAGAAGAATTTGGCAACAGGGTCGATGGGTTTAAGTTACAGGAGGGTGTCCGAGAATGGGTGTCGCATCTCCGAATCATCACTGTAGATCGAATAGAATGGACATTCGGTTGGCTCTCTGTGGACAAAGTTGTGTATATGCCCGCAACAGAACCACATTTTCTCTTGATGGGCCTTAGGAGCATCCAGCCTTACGCCCTGCATCGGGTCTTGAGACAACTCGGAAGATGCCAGATAGTGCCAAAAGACGAAGATCTCAGCATCCGGGTAGTCGAAATTGGGCCTGGTAGTTAGTTCCCAAAAGCAATGGTTCGCAAAATCTAGAATGAATGCCAATATCTAACCGCTGACACTTGTGTACAGGATCCTGCTAGAGGCGAAGTGTTACCGGGATACCTCGCCTGGTACAGGAGAGAAATTGAGTTTGAGAGACCACCCAAAAGGCCTCACCTCCAAGAGTTCATTGGAACATCACAAGAGCAGTGGGATTGGTTAGCAAAAGAAAATGAATACCGTGCTAATATAGGAAGGATGGAAAAGAAAATTCAAGAGTTGCAATTTGAAAACAGTCTACAAGCTGCAGCCAGCGAGAGAGAAAAGAAGGTATTGATTAAAGAAAATGAAGCCCTACGAGCCCAGATTCAGAAGATGAAGGCAGCCGCAGAAAATCCTCTTAGGAGTACAAAGGATGAAAAGCTCATAGAAAACCTGCGGCGGAAAGTAACTGAATACGGGTTCGACCTGAATAGGGCGGAGGGTGAACTGTCTAGGGTTCGGAAGCCATTAATTAAAAATGCAAAGGAAAGAGCCCGCATACTGGAGCAGTTAAAAGAAGGAAGTGGAAATAAAAGCGTCGGTTTAAAACAGAGGGTTGTCATAGTTGAAAACAAAATGGCCAAACAAGCCAGGGATTTCAAAGCCGAGAGAGAGCATTGCTATGCGGTAATAGCGGGATTGGAAAGAGATTTGCGGCAATTCCAAAAGCTGAATCAAGCAGCTGAACGGACTTTAGAAGCACAGGCCGAACAAATAGGGCGTCTACTACAATAAAAAGGGGTTATCAGGGAAAAGGTGCGGGCAATCGCGGAATATATTACCACTAAATGCAATCACTGTGAAGACATGACAAAATCTATGTTCTTTGCTGCTGCCATGACATTTTTCCGTCAAGTGATGGAATATCTCCACTACCTCCAGGGAAGTTTGGCACGCAAACCTGCGGCAAGGTCGAACGATGCCCCGCAAGCTCCAAAAATATTTGAAGTTTTAATGTACTCATAAATTTATATTAGAAGAGTTTGTCTGTATGTTCTGTTACATTCCTTTTGAGTCTGTCCCAGTTTGGTAGTTGCTTTTCATTCGGTTAGCCTTTGTAATCAGAGTTTATGTCTTTATAAAAATTGAAAATCCAAAAAATATTCTATTGTGTACATAACATTTTTCCATGAACTACGCTCGGTCTGATTCATGCAAAGTCATGATACGTAGGCAATCTCTATAGGATTCGACCGTATACTTTAAAAAGGAAAAAGGGGAATAAGAAGTAGGAAACAAAAGGAATTTTGGAATAAATGTAGGGATGACACATGCGACCATTTCAAGCATATAGAAACCCGTTATCTGCATAGGTGCATAATACCCAACGTGTGATTTCCTGTTTGTTATCTGTCCCGAACTAACCATTTGAACTCCAGTGTCCAGTCCAGGTGTTTGAAGAACAGTGATTGGTTTGCGGTATGCTGGCTTCACACGGATACTTCACGAGATCAAAGGGAAGCACAGAGATGTCAACCGAAATGACTCTACCAGCAGTCCCTATACCGGAGGACAACCCAATTACAGGATTCCCAGCCTCCGAATCTGCAGTGGTTGAGGAGACAGGATCCTGTGGCTCTGAGTTATGGAGATGTGGGATGCCTGGACAAATGGGAAAGAACCTCCAAACGCTATCCCCGAATTTCCCGAGCTTTTTCCAAGGTCAGAGGGTACTTCCACCATCCCTATCAGCCACCCAAATATTCTCCTGGGGAAGCCCACCATATCAACCAATTTTGTCGGGGCTCCCTCTGAAACCCGCCCTCCGATGTTTACATCCGGTCCAGTCCCCAACATTTTTACAGCCCCTCCGTGCGCAACCACCACGCAGCCTGCGGTGCCGAGGCACATGTTTTACCCCACAGCTTTTACATTCCAAACTCCTAACTACCAAATCGAGCCTCCCCCATACCCCACATACAATTACCCTCAGCCAGCATACGCGCTCACCCCTGTGCAAGACAAAACCTCTAAAACACCCGAGCAAGATGAAATCACAAGGAGAATGAAGAGTCTTGAACAAAGTCTGAAAAACATGCAAGGATTAAGTAGGAAGAAGAGTGTATCTTACTCAGACCTATGCATGTTCCCACACGTGCATCTTCCTTTGGGGTTTAAAATGCCGAAGTTTGAAAAATACGATGGCCACGGCGACCCCATCGCTCATTTGAAAAAGTACTGCAATCAACTACTTGGAGCCAGTGGGAAGGAAGAACTCTAATGGCATATTTTGGGGAGAGCTTAGTGGGCATTGCATCTGAATGGTACATAGACCAGGATATTACCCGATGGCACATCTGGGATGACCTCGCCCGGGACTTTGTATGACAATTCCAGTACAACATTGGTATTGCCCCGGATAGGAACTCCTTAGCCAACTTGAAAAAGAAACCTACTAAAAGCTTCGGAGAATATGCTGTTAAATGGCGCGAGCAAGCATCGAGAGTAAAGCCTCCCATGGACGAGACAGAGATGGTCACCGTCTTTCTACAAGCGCAAGAGGCACACTATTTTCAGAATATGATGTCCGCAATGGGTAAACCTTTTGCAGAGGCAATTAAGATTGGGGAAATGGTAGAGAATAGCCTCAAAACAGGGAGGATTCTGAGTCAATCCGCCATAAGAGCAGCCTCCCAGGCCATACAAGGAGGGACGGGAGGAATCTCGAGAAACAAGAAGAAAGAGGTAGCATCCATGGCAGCCTCCGGGATGAGGAAACATCATGCTCATAGACATGCATTCTCTGAAAGGGAATATCAACATTACTATCCTCACCAAGACATGCACTATGCCCCTCAACCCTATGCAATTATGAACTCTCAACCCTTTGCTCGACCACAACAGCAGAACAACAGAAACCAAGCCCCAAGAAATCAGCCTCCTCATAATCACTACAATCCCCGCCATCCACAAAATAACTACCGTCCTAGGGAACCACGCAGGAGGTAGAAAATCACTCCAATAGGAGAATACTATGCCAGCCTATTCCCAAAGTTGGTCCACATGGGTCTCTTGCAGCCCGTGCCCCCAAACAGAGTAAACCCCGAATCACCTTCCTATCAAAGGGGCGTACGTTGTGCTTACCACTCTGGGGCAGAGGGACATGAAACCAAAAATTGCTGGACCCTAAAACGAGCAGTAGAGGATTTGATAGACCAAAAGAAGATATTGTTGAGAGATGAAGAAATCCCAAACGTAACTGATAACCCGCTGCCTGCTTACAACAACGGGCCGGTCATCGGAATGATCTGCGAGGACAAAGAATTTGATCCCGCCCTGAAAGCCATAATAGCCATTGCCGAGGCAGACAGAAAACCAAAAGTTGCCCCCAAAAATATTGAAGGAAAGAAAATGAATGAAGCCAAATGCCTAGAAGCAGAGAAAACGCCTGAGATCAAAACTGAGTCGCCAACCAAGGAAACAATACTCTACATCCCACGAGGGCATCAAGAAAAACATCCCACTTTGAGCCCCCCAAGAAGATTTGATCTGAACAAAACCATGTATGTACCCAAGAAAGCCTATGTGGTATGGGGATCGATTAAACCACCGGTGCTGAATGAGCCCGTGGTAATCGGTCGCTCACCACAGAAGCCCATGACAAACCCTTCGGCCATCCCTTGGAATTACCAAGAAACCATCATTACATACAAGGGTAAAAAAATCGTCGTGGAAAATCAAAAAGGCTATCCTACAAAGAAATACTCAGATATGGAAGAGGTGAACGCTGCCACCATACGGCGATTTCCACCTAAGAAACCAGTGAATGCTGAGGAGGCAGAAGCCTTCTTCCAGAAAATTAAAATGCTAGAGTACGAAGTGGTGGATCAGCTCCCAAAATCTCCTGAGCAGGTTTCTTTATTGTCACTCTTGATGAAATCTCCCGAGCACCAACAGGTGTTGGCCAAAACATTGAACGAAGCCTATGTACCGGCTGAGACCTCTGTGGAGCAACTAGAGAAAATGGTGGAGAGATTTTTCGCTATTAACCAGGTCTCGTTCAGTAAGAATGACTTACCTCCAAAGGGAGCTACTCGTAACAAAGCCTTGCACCTCACCGTCAAGTGCGAGGGATATTATGTCAAAAGAGTGATGATCGACGGAGGTTTCAGAGTAGACATATGCCCACTGTCTACCTTGCAGAGAATGGAGATTGGGACAGAAAGGATCCGTCCTAATAACGTGTGTGCCCAAGCCTTCGATGGAATCAAGAGAGACACCATAGAAGAAATTGACTTGGTACTCACCATTGGTCCAGTCGACTTCAAAGTAACATTTCAGGTGTTGGATATGGACACCTCCTATAACTACCTCCGAGGAAGGCCATGGATTCACGCAGCAGGGGCAGTACCTTCTACGCTGCACCAAATACTGAAATTTGAACATGAAAACTAGGAGATTGTAGTTCATGGAGAGGACGAAAGGTCGATTTATCGGGACCCCTCTGTCCCCTGTCTCGAAGCCAAGGAAAGGAGTGAGCACATAGTCTATCAAGCTTTTGAAGTCGTAGTAGCCGATCAACATGAAGAAGGCAAGCCACTCCCCCAGCCTTTTCTCTCAAATGCTTCAATTATGGTGGCAAAGGAAATGACGCGCCAAGGTTTTAAGCCAGGCAAGGGACTCGGAAGCTCCTACAAGGCATAACCGAGCCGGTCGCCTTGCCTGCCGCAGAAAAGTTCTTTGGACTAGGCTTTCATCCAAACTCAGAATATATCACCTGGGCCAATCGCAGAAAGCGCCAGGGATGGGCCTTTCCACGACCCTTACCCCACTTGTACAAAACCTTTGTAAAACCAAAAGTACAGTGAGGAGGAGCAAGAAGAAACCTTCACGGCAGAAGAAATTGATGAGATCTACGGAGTTATGAGGGAGTTGTTGTACGAGGTCAACATGGTCCAACGGGGAGAAGGTTCAAGCGCCGCCGAAGTGCTCTATATGGGGCCATATGCCAAGCTTCAAAATTGGAAGGCCACACCTTTCCCAGTCAGGCGGGAGGCCCGGTAGTCCCGCCTTGCTACCTCTTCCTACATCACGAGCTATTTCAGGGTGTAGCTCGGTTGTTAGTTTTTCATTAGCACTTTGTCCTTTAAATTTCAAATTGTAAACCGTGTCATCTTACAAGTCAAAGAAATAAAATCAATATTTCGTCATTTGCACCTCTTTGTCTTTTTCTGATTTTTATCTTTCTTTTATTTTTCATCTTTTCTTTCAGTCCCAGTAATGCGACTTTAAATAAAACGACATGCTCGCGGACTTCATGCCACGACCCAAACATGCTACCCATTGGTGAAATAATGAACCAAGAACCGGAATACGATGAAGAAGAGGCTTTTAGGAAAATCAACCGAGAGTTGGAACACTTTAAAAACAAACCTAAGCTGAACTTAAACGATTCTGAACCGGTTAACTTGGGAAATCCCGATGAAATCAAAGAAACTAAAATAAGCATCCATGTGAATAAAGAAATACGAGATTTATTGGTTCAACTCCTTTTGGAATTCAAAGATGTATTTGCGTGGTCTTACGATGACATGCCTGGTTTGAGTATGGATTTGGTGGTTCATAAGTTTCCCACATATCCTGAGTGCCCTCCGGTCCAACAAAAATAAAGAAAGTTCAAGCTTGATGTCAACGATAAAATCAAAGAGGATATTACAAAACAGCTAGAGGCGGGGGTAATCTGGGTGGTTCGGTACACCACTTGGCTGGCCAACGTGGTCCCGGTACCGAAGAAGGACGGAAAAACTCGAGTGTGTGTGGATTATAGAGATTTAAACAAGGCGAGTCCCAAAGACAACTTCCCTCTACCCAACATCCACATCCTTGTCGATAAATGTGCCAAACATGAGATTCAATCCTTTGTAGACTGCTATGCAGGATACCACCAAGTGTAGATGGATGACGAAGATGCTGAGAAAACCGCCTTTACCACACCTTGGGGAACCTATTGTTACAGAGTTATGCCTTTTGGATTGAAAAACGCCGGGGCAACATACATGAGGGCTATGATCACCATCTTCCATGACATGATGCATCGAGAAATAGAGGTGTATGTGGATGACGTGATTATCAAATCCAATACCCAGGGCGATCATGTAAAGGACCTGAGGAAGTTCTTCGAAAGGCTCCGCAAATATGATTTGAAATTAAATCCAGCAAAGTGAGCATTTGGGGTCCCGTCAGGCAAACTTTTGGGGTTCATCGTCAGCCGAAGAGGCATCAAATTGGATCCAACCAAGATAAAATCCATTCGAGAGCTGCCTCCACCAAGGACCAAAAAGGATGTAATGAGTCTATTGGGAAGATTGAATTACATCAGCCGATTCATCGCCTAGTTGACTTCAACATGCGAACCCATATTCAGGCTACTGAAAAAGGATGCGGCAGTTCAATGGACTGTTGAGTGCCAGGAAGCTTTTGACAGAATCAAATAATACTTGTCCAATCCACCGGTGTTGGTTCCGCTAGAGCCAGGAAGGCCACTATTTCTCTATCTAACAGTCTTGGAAGGCTCTTTTGCCATTTATTATCTGAGCAAAAAGTTTACCAGTTACGAGGCCAAGTACACATTGTTAGAAAGAACTTGTTGCGCCTTGGCGTGGGTGGCTCAAAAGTTAAGGCATTATCTGCAAGCTCATACCACGTACCTTATAACTAGGCTGGATCCAGTAAGGTACATATTCCCAAAGCCAATGCCCACAGGGCGACTGGCCAAATGGCAAATCTTACTCATCGACTTTGACATAGTTTATGTCACTCGTACGGCAATGAAGGCTCAAGCATTGGCAAACCATATGGATGAGAACCCCATTGATGATGAATATCAGCCTCTAAACACCTAATTCCCTGATGAAGAAGTGAATTCGTTGGAAATAGCAGCTGAAGACACCCCCGTCTGGAAAATGTTCTTCGACGGAACAGTAAACGTAAAAGGCGTAGGGATTGGGGCAATTTTAATCTCACCCACAGATCAGCATTATCCAGCTACAGCCATGCTCCGGTTCTTCTGCACCAATAATACAGCTGAATATGAGGCTTGCACCATGGGCATGAACATGGCCATTAATCAAGATGTCAAAGAATTGCTAATCATGGGAGATTCCAATCTGATCATCCGACATGCTCAAGGAGAATGGGAGACAAGAGACATTAAGCTCCTCCCATACAGAAAGCATGTGGAAGACCTCAGCAGACGGTTCAGGTTGGTACAATTCAGGTACATTCCCCGTTGCCACAATGAGTTAGCAGACGCACTCGCAACCTTGGCCTCTGTGTTACCTTGCCCTGGAAACGCCTATTTTGACCCTTTACAAATCCAAGTCAAAGAAAGGCATGGGTATTGGAACGCGACCGAAGCAGAGTCCAGCACACAACCCTAGTATTATGACATCAAGAGATTCATAAAAACACAGGAGTATACCAAGCAAGCCACCGGAGAACAAAAGAAAACCATTCGACGGCAAACAAGCAATTTCTTTTTGAGCGGTGATACTTTTTATAAAAGGACTCCGGATCTTAATTTGATGAGATGTGTGGATACCGAGGAAGCCAGGAGAATTATGCACGAAGTACATGCGGGCGTGTGTGAGCCCCATATGAATGACTTGCCAGAAGATACTCCGAGCTGGCTATTACTGGATCACCATGGAGAAAGACTGCATTAGCTTTGTTCGAAAATGTCATCAGTGCCAGGTGCACGGTGATTTGATTCATGCAATGCCAAATGAACTGCATCCTTTGTCAGCACCCTGGCCATTTGCCGCTTGGGGAATGGATTTCATTGGGCCGATTGAGCCAAAAACATCAAATGGAAACAGATTCATATTGGTCGCCATCGATTACTTCACAAAATGGGTTGAGGCCATCACCCTTAAGTCTGTTACCAAGAAGGCGGTGGTGGACTTTGTACACTCCAACATCATTTGTCGTTTTGGAATTCTCGCTACCATCATTATAGACAATGCGGCTAATCTAAATAGTCGGCTGATGGGAGAAATATATGAACAGTTCAAGATAACACATAGAAACTCCACTCCTTACCGACCCAAAGCTAATGGTGCCATCGAAGCAGCTAACAAGAACATCAAGAAGATCTTGAGGAAAATAATTCAAAGCTCGAGGCAATGGCATGAAAAGTTACCTTTTGCACTGATGAGATATCGTACCACATTACATACATCGGTAGGAGAAACCCTCTATTTGCTGGTCTATGGGACTGAGGCTGTCATACCCGTCGAGGTGGAAATCCCTTCGCTCCGAGTGATTGTCGAAGCAAAAATTGAAGATAATGAATGGGTCAAAACCCGTTTGGAGTAGCTGCCGTTAATTGATGAAAAATGAATGGCCGCGGTATGCCACGTGCAATTGTACCAACAAAGAATGGCCCGTGCTTACAACAAGAAAGTGCGCCCCAGGAATTTCGAAGTCGGGCAGCTGGTATTGAGACAGATACTTCCTCATCATCAGGAAGTAAAAGGAAAATTCGCTCCAAATTGGAAAGGTCCATACATTATAAGAAAGATACTGCCTAAAGGAGCATTGTACCTGGGTGACGTTGAAGGAGACGAGCCCGAGGCAGCAGTAAATGCAGATACAGTAAAAAGGTATTATGTTTGAACCCCCTGCAACAATGGCCCCGGTTGATTAAAATGACGAAGGCTTTGCTTTCCCGCTACCCTCACCCTCTTTTAACCCGGAAATGTTGTTGAAAAAAAAAGAAAAGAAAAATGAGAAGAAAAAAGAAAAGAAAAGAAAAATGAAAAAAAAGAAAATAAAAGAAAAAAAAGAGAAAGAAGAAAATAAAAGAAAAAATGAAAAAAAAGAGAAGAAGAAAAAAGAATACAAACAAAATCAGTTTAGGAAAACCTTCCTGAACTATGTCTGACTTGATTCCGAAAGGATACGTAGGCAGCCTCTCCCTGAGGTTCAGTCATATCAAAATAAAAATTCCATTTACCCAAGAAAACCAAAACTAGGGTAGAAATGTATCGTTTCGATTACAAATCCATCCAAATGGTTTCAAAGTTATAGATCCCCGGGGATGTGAAAAATACTTTAGTTGGGATTCGGCACCAATCAAATTTTTGAGAGAAATAAAATGAGAGAGTCTTATTGGTGAAAACCTCCAGGCACCATAAGGCGACGGCAAGAAGAGAAAAACGAAATAAGAGAGTCCGTTTAGCGAAAACTCGCAAAGAGCTCTATCGGGCGACGGGAAAGAGAAATGAGAGAGGTCGAAAGGGTGCCGTCGGCTGAAAAGGAAATATTGTTGTTCAAGTCTGAATAAGTTCCTTTGATTTTGAAAAAGTTGAAATCGGAAAGCTGAAATGGATCTGGGCTGGGTATTCAGTCCAAGAAGCATGTAGTTGTCATTTAAAGCCGATTCATACTTCCAGATAAGTCGCCTCTTTTCCCTCAAAAGAACATACCTCTCTAAAATTCATGCTTCACTCCTTTCTGCTTTAATTTTGATGTCTTGACCATTCCATAAGAAAGGTAGTAGGGCCGGTCTCAGGGGTTTCTCCTGGCAAGAAGTAAAGGAATACCCGGCATCATCAAAGCGCGCTTAGCCAATCCCCGCTGATCATGACGGCTGACGCCTCAAAAGTAGGGAAATAAAAGAAAGGAAATTCAAAATCAAAGGTCCATGAAGGTGAAGAAAAATTGGAGGGTTTTAAGCCAAACATGATGTTGATTCTTATCAAAAGTCCCAAAAGCAAGCCCAAAATCAAAGTTGGGACAAAACTCATAACCCAAGGCCTGGGAAACAAAAACCAACCCAAAATGAGGACCCCCTGGACAATCAATGGAGCAAGGATTAGAAGTCAAGGGTTTGTCTTTGGACACAAAGGAAGCTGAAATCAAGCGTGACAAGGCCGCGAAACAAATCACTGTTCAAAGTAACAGTTTGTTTTGTTTCTAAACAAAAATAGATGCAGGTGAAATCTAGAAAAACAGAAGGAACATGGGTCAAAAACAACCAAAGGATTGGCATAAGGACCAAGGATGGTGTTGCGTCAATAACAAAAGGGAAGTTTTCTTTTCATTTTCCTGCAAAATCGTAAATAAGCATGATAACATGGGATTCAAATCCTTTGTTTCCCCTTGTGCAACTTGTGGATTTCCTAGGCATGACCCAAGGATCGCATTCAACCCCCTCCAGCATAGACCAAGAAGTCTCTTTCCTTCACTCCCCGACATAACCCGGGAAGTTCCTCTTCACATCCCTAGCATAACCTGAGGATTCCTTTCCTATACTTTCTACTCCCCAGCGTAGTCTAAAAGTTAATTCTCCCATATCCTTAGCATAACCTAAGGGTTGTTCCTTTCCCCTCTACCCCCGGCATAGTCAAAAGGATCTCTCCGGTCTTTCACTTCCTGGTAGATCCTCCTAGCATAACCTAGGAATTCTCTTTCCATCCCGGGATAACCTGTGGATTCCCCTGGAATAACCCAGGAATTTTCATTCATACCGGCATAACTCGTGGACCTCCCTAGCATAACCTAGGAATTTTCATTCATCCCGGCATAACCCGCGGATTCACCTGGCATAACTCAGGAATTTTCACCAATCCCGGCATAACCTGTGGATCTCCCTGGCATAGCCTAGGAATTTTCACTAATCCCGTCATAACCCGTGGATCTCCCTACCATAACCTAGGATTTTTCATTCATCCCGGCATAACCCGTGGATATCCCTACCATAACCCAGGAATTTTCATTCATCTTGGCATAACCCGTGGATCTCCCTGGCATAACCTAGGAATTTTCATTCATCCCTGCATAACCTGCAGATCTCCCTAGAATAACTTAGGAATTCTCTCTAATCCCGACATAACCCGTGGATTCTCCTGGAATAACCCAGGAATTCTCTTTCGATCCCGGCATAAACTGCGGATTCCCCTGGCATAACTCAGGAATTTTCATGCATCCCGGCATAACCCGTGGATCTCCCTGGCATAACCCAAGAATTTTCACCAATCTCGGCATAACCCGTGGATCTCCCTAGCATAACCTAGGATTTTTCATTCATCTCGGCATAACCCGTGGATCTCCCTGGCATAACCCAGGAATTATTATTCATCCCAGCATAACCCGTGGATCTCCCTGGCATAACCCAGGAATTTTCATTCATCCTGGCATAACCCGCGGTTCTCCCTAGCATAACCTATGAATTCTCTCTCATCCCGGCATAACCCGCGGATTCCCCTGGCATAACCTAGGAATTCTCTTTCGATCCCGGCATAACCCGCGGATTCCCCTGGCATAACTCAGGAATTTTCATGCATCCCGGCGTAACCCGTGGATCTCCCTAGCATAACCTAGGAATTCTCTTTCATCCCGGCATAACCCGTGGATTCCCCTGGCATAACCCAGAAATTCCTTCATAACCTATGACTCTCTTTCCGTCCCTAGCTGGAACCTTTTCTTCCTATCCCAGCATAACCCGTGGGTTTTTCTTTACCCCCAACAGGGACTTTTCCATTTCTATCCCAGCATAACCCGCAGATCCTCCTCTTATCCCCAGCAAGGACCCTTTCTCCTCCCCAGCATAACCTGGCGATCTTTCCAAGGGATGCACAATCCTGATTTCTTTTGCTTTCAATAAATAATAGCTTGGATTTGTGTTGCAAATAACTCGTGAAATTTTTCCAAGTGAAAACTGGGGCAGAAAATTTTGTTCGTTTATTTGTGTTGGTGTCCGAGCAGGTTTCACCTTAAGGGACAAGATTCAAGATGACCGAAAGCATGAGTCTCAATCCAGAATGAAGGAAAAGAAGAAAAGAACAAAAGAAGTGAATAAACCAGCAGTTGCAGATAATAGGCATCAAGATTCAGATCAAGGTCTACAGCAAAATCAGCTAAGATTCAAGATCGAGTTCCTAAAGAGTTATACATAGGAATCTTGTATCCCGTAGTTGACAGGCCTAGCCAGTTTAGCTTTTGTTTTTCTTTTATGTAATAAAGAGTCGGTAAGCAGTAGCAGCAGCAATAGCAACAGCAGTGAAATCACAGCCCATGGTAGTCCCAGCTACCAAAACTTCCAGAACTACACTGACCTGATTCCTTTATCGCCAAGGATATGTAGGCAACCTTTTGAAGCAAGGTTCGGTCAGAAATATTTCAAAATGCTTCACACGGAGTATTCAGTCGCATGAAAATCGCTCATGTTTGCTCACTTGTCTTTGCACGAAAACTCTTCGTGTTCCCGCGCAAAGAGGGCCAGCTGTGAGCATATGATTTTTGCCTTGTAAAGTCGACTCCTACAGGACTCTCGGGTTTAGGATTTTCCTTTTAATATTTGTTTTAGGATTTAATTGCGTGTGCTAGTGTGTTTTTATTAATGCACGTTTAAAATTATTTAGGATTTAATTTCATA